CAGGACAGTTTGTACTCCTTCCTCTCCCCTTGACATTTTTGTTTCCAATCAGAGTAAATTAAAATGTTACATGGGCCAGTTAAAGCTGTTCTGCTTTCATATGCCCTTTGAGGTTTTTCCTGAAGTGGGGACAAATGGCTGCTTGGCCTTTGTGGCTTACCTGGATGGTGCAGAAGCTTGTGGTTCTACTGCCCTGATTTCTGTTAGTACAAGTGTCTAGCGACTCACCTTGACGAGGATGTTAAATGCCGAGTTAATGAGCCGGTTGTATTGAGAAGACATTTTTCAAGTCTTATGAAAATCTTACTGTACATGTCAGTTAGCCTCCACGTCAGTCTTCGGAGTGTGCAGTTTTGGCTGCCAACCCTGCCTTAATCCTGAAAACGTTAATGAGAATTACGATGATAAATCCTGAATTTGTTTCAGGAAAGGACTCTTGTTAGCTCAGTGTTTTTAATTTGAATAATGTGCCATGTTAATTGGAATACTGTAGTTTTTGACAGAAAGACTCCTTATATCTGTTTGATTTAGAGCTTGGGCGAAATGAGCTTTTCTGCTTCTAATTGCCCAAATCATTTGAATCTTGGTGAGTTGCAGACAAAGAACATGCTTCAAATTAGTATTATTATGGAAAAAAGATTTAAGTTATAGTGACAACTACCAGTTTGTTTTGAATCCAGCAATGTTGAATTTAATGTTATTTTTATAGGATAAATCCATATTAGGATCTCTAAATAAATAAGATATCTGGTTATTTGGAAAGCTCTTGGTCAATTCTGTCTGTGATATTGATCAGTTCGCAAGGCAAATCGCTGTCCACACTCTTGATGGGGATGTGGAAAACCAAGACTTCTTTTTTTTTTTTGACAAAATGGCCTAACTAGTTAAAGGGAAAAGAATAGAAAGCTGTCTTTTTGTCAGTGGAAAGGCAAATGTTTCAGTTAATCGTTTCAGTCATCAAGCACAGTCTTCAGAAATAGGTCACTAACACTAAAAATGTATTTTTTTAAAACTTTTCAAGAATTTTCTTTTTTTTCCTCTCTTTTTTTTTTTTTTTTTTTAAATTGGACTCTTTTTAAAGAGGAAGGTAGTGAAAGTAGAAAGCTCAGAGCTTTGCTGTTGTATCTACCAAACAAGTCAAAGATAGATCTTGACCAGATTTCTAGTCATTTACATGTGTCATTTAGTGAAGGAAAGTATTAAAATCAGAAATTCTTCTGATATAAATGACCGCTGTGTACTATGGTCCCTTCTCACTTGTTCCCAGAAATGCTTTGATTTCATGAAGGGAGCAGACAGAATTTTTGCAGCCCTCCTCCCTTGTTCTTGTTTCCCAGTGATCTTGCAGTTCTTTTTTATTATGTGATCAAAATGCAAGTTTCAGCTTGCCTGCAGTTCCTGTCACCTGCCGTGCAGGCAGGCTCTGTTTGAATGCTTTGATGAATACAAGAACCCAAAGTGCGTGACATGAAAAGTATGCATTTGATGATATTATGGACTTGTTTCTCAGCTGATGGCATGACTGGGAGGGGAGGGAAGTGATGGCAATGGATTGTCCTTAAAGAGTGCATTAGGGCATGGGCAGTCAACTTCTGCTAAGAGGCTGAGCTGCTTTGATTTAGGAGTTCTATGATCTGCTCTCTTAATTCTCACAATAACTCTGAAACAGTACTGCTGACTTGGAGGGATTAGTAATCATATATTAATGTGTAGCATCTTACAGTTGTTAATGAATTCTACATGATAAGTGCTTCACAACTTCTGCCAGACTAGTTTTGGATGTTTAGAATAAAGAAATATCCTCCTCTGCCTTCTTTTGCTGTAACAGAGTGAACATTTACATACAGGGTGAAAAATACATTTACCGTATTAATGCAGCCACAAAATATGACATCACAAATTTTGAAAGTAGGGCTGCCAAGAAATTATTCTGGAAACCTTGTTTTCTCTGCTTTTAAACTGTATGCTTTCAAAATGTTAAGTTTCAGGCAATTTCTGAAATTGACTTTCAGGATGGCTATTCCTTTTTTCTTATCCCTGACTCCATTAAAAATCTGATTGCTGAGATTTCTGTTTTGTTTCTCAGTCTCCTATGAGGACGGGCTGAGAGAGTTGGGGTTGTTGAGCCTGGAGAAGAGAAGGCTTCGGGGAGACCTTATAGCAACCTTCCAGTACCTGAAGGGGGCCTACAAGAAAGCTGGAGAGGGACTTTTTACAAGGGCATGTAGTGATAGGACAAGGGGCAATGGTTTTAAATTGAAAGAGAGTAGATTTAGATTGGATAGATGGAAGAAATTTTTTACGATGAGGGTGCTGAGACACTGAGCAGGTTGCCCAGAGAAGTTGTGGATGCTCCATCCCTGGAAATGTTCAAGGCCAGGTTGGATGGGGCTTTGAGTAACCTGGTGGAAGGTGTCCCTGCCCGTGGCAGGGGGATTGGAACTAGATGATCTTTACGGTCCCTTCCAACCCAACCATTCTATGAGTCTTTGATTTTACTTTCCAATAAAAGTTCCACTATTATAATGCGATACAGGAGGAGAGCAAAAATAATTCTTGAAAGCTGAGTCTGCTTGTAGAGAGGTTGAGGTTATCACAATAAACTCTATCAGCCTTACATTGGGGAATATTTTTTTCTTACCCCAGAAGTCAAGTTACACATCAGCTGAGCAACTGAACTAGTAATACAAGTTGAACTTTGTATTACTGTAACATATAGAAAGTCAATGACCAAATAACTAGATCTCCTTTCCGTCCGTTCTGTCTTTTCCTTTCTAAGTGCCGGTAAATAGATATTCTAGGACTGGTTTAATTTCTGCTTACATTTCTAACACTGTTTATTTCTATCTTGTCCGGTTCTTTGCCTAAACAATTAAGCCAACAAGCTGTAAGTTTACTGGGTTTTTTTTATCTCCACTGGAGGTTTTTTTTTTTTTAAAAAAAAAAAGGGTGGACTTTTTCAGAACTTCGCTCCTTTATGGTTAAAAATAATTTTCTGTTTTCCTTGTAAGGTCTCAGTGTTCTCTCTAACAATGCAAGAAGCTATTTCTGCGTTACGCAAAATGCAGTTGGTATTTCAGTTGGCTGATGTTATTTCTTCATAGGTGAACAAATAGATACAGGTGTAATAAAGTAGACAGCTTTCCTTGCTTCCCCCAAAAGAACAATCTATTCTTCTAAACAGACATCCCAATCACTAAATACAAGGCTAGGAGGAAGTGAGACGGGAGAAATGTTGCACCCGTTTAGAAGTACTCCTTTGTTCTGTACTTCACTTACAGCGTGGACTCTTTGCATGGGCTGAGTATCTTAGGAGTTCTGGTGTGATGATAAAGCAGTAGACCACTGAAGCTGCCATGAAAGCAGCCCTTTACCTTCTGTTTGGGTGCAGGTTGTTTAAACCAGTTTAATTTCTGCAGTGCATTGGAGAGAACCTCTTGGTCTTCTGCTGCTTCAAAGTCAGGAAAAATATTTTAGAGTTTTCTTGCAGGAGGCATCCTAGCAGTTTTAATTAGCTCTCTACTGAGCAAATCTACACGCTTTGTCCATGGATAACCCTCTTAAGGAAGAGCATGTCTGAAGTAGCTTCAGTCCTAACTTCATGTAATCTGTAGTTTGCTGATGGTCTGTACCATAGACCTCTGCAAGAGGAGTTTAGAAGTAAATATTTTTTCTTTTCTAGAATATTACAGATGTGATGAAGGGATCAGTTTTGGTTTTTTCTTGGCATGGTATCTTATCTCTTGATAATAAATATGATGCTCTGAAGCCTTTTAGAAATTCAAAGTATTTTTGTGGTTAAGTTTTCTGTTTTCTGAGAAGTCATTAGATTTTTTTCACTTATAACATAAGTGAAGCAGTTTAATTTTTCTTTCAGATTTAAGATTTCTAGATAGTTAAATACTTAATTTTCAGACGAGGTGTCAGGGATATCCAGCTTTTAATTACAACTACTACCTCCTTGCGCTATAGTGACTTCTAATCAACGCTTATAGAAAGCATTGGAAATATTAATGAATTATATCTTATATTCCTTGCTGAGATTTTTGAGGCTCTGTGTATGTCAGGCAATGTAGGAATACAAGTAGAGGTTGTAAGTCACCAGTTAATTAACCTAGACAAAGAGTCCTAAACAATAGCATATTTGAACTGAAGAATAGCATATTTTAACCATGGGGAGCTTTGAGGGGATTTTTTGTGTTTCCCTAAAAATTTTGAAAAGGGTAAACTTCCACATAAACCTGGGAGAAGGTTTCTCTTTCTTAGCTTCCTGCATGGACTCCTTAAAATAGGTTTACTGACAGCAACAGGTGGAAGGCCACTGACCTTAGCAGATCTGAAAAGGCACATCAGGAAGATGATCAGATCATTATACAACAAGCTTGAATCTGTTTCTAGTATTTTAAGTCTTTACCAAGCCAGTTATCCTTAGTTCTACTTGTGTTTGGGATGCTAATACCCTGTTTATATTCATCAAGCTACCCTAAGCCCCCTAAATAAATAAAAAAAATCTGAAAAATACAACATTTTTTGCTTCACTTCCCTTAGTTGGAAATGTTAAACTGTTTTGCATTGCTTTGAACTGTGAATGAGAGAGAAAAATTCTTGCCGCTGTGTTTTCTGGGCTCAAGATCATGCGAACGCAGATGGTCCTACTGGCTGAGAGTTCTATAGAACATTTCAACTTGTATTTGAGGAGGAGAATGTTATTGTAATTGCTGTATTAGGGTTGTTAACCACTTCTTTCTCTTCTCCCCACAAAAGAAAAAACTAATCCCTTTAAGTTGAAGATACAGATTTTTCATCTAATTAGATTTGGATATGACCATTAATTTAAGGACTTGTAGGTGAGGATGAGAACTGGTAATTCTGTATTCAGGTACTCACCCCTTTTCCCCCTGAAATATTTTAGATGATAGTCCAGTTAGAAAACAGTGATGATGCATATTTCAAAATTAACATATTGATAAAATTAACCTGTGGTATTTATGTTGTCACAGCTCTTTAATGTTGAAAGGTGTTGAGCCACAAAGTACCTGTGAATTGGAGGTGGATGCAGTAGCTGCTGACATTTTAAATCAACTGGATATTGAAGGTGAAGTGTTAATAACTTTGCATGTAAAATGTTTTAGGACAGGAACTATATTGTCATCTTTTTTTAAGGCTCAGCTTAGTTAAGCCACAGTCCAGATTTAAGTGTTTAGTGAATTGTTGATCTACAAATTTATAAAGCTTAAAAAAAAAAAAATTGAATGAACTCTGGAAGAAAACAGGTTATAAGAATAGCCTCTTGTCAGAGCAATAGAAAGAGATTTTTGTTAATGCATAACAGGAGGTTTCAAACCTGTAAGGAGAGTAAGTAAAATATCAACATCAACTATGTGTGTGTATGTACATATATCTATACATACATATGCATACGTGATGAGAAGACCAGTAAAAGCCAAAGATCTAGAAAACAAATACGAGATCTAGAAAACAAATAAAGTTACTCTAGGATTCAGTGTTATGTAAAAGTTAAGGTGTAAGGCAAGAATTGCAATTAAAAAAATAACAGGTTAGAATGACAAAAGAGGTGAAGAAGAGTGTCAGAATCTATTTTGGGGGGAAGAAAGCTTTTCATCACATTGACGGACTTCCCTTCATGTATTACTGCATATTTCAGCCCAGATTGGCAGGAACCCTGGTTTGCAAGCTATATGGGAAGATGAAAAGCAGCGACGGAGACAGAAATGTGAATCTTCTCAGATTAAGCCACCTGAGTCACAAGGTAAAAAAAAAAAAAAAAAAAATTATTTTGTGCAGCTGTTTATCAAAAACTGTGAATGAGAAGCAAACAGGAGGCAGAATTTAAATCGGTATATCAAGTTTGAGGGCTTTTTGATGCACTGTTGTTTCAATTCCAAGCTTGCTGATTGCCCAGTGTGTGTAATCCAATTTTAAAAGCAAGATACATAACCTTGCCTAAAAACATCTTGATTCAGCTAGCTGCAAAACATTCTAGGCAGAATGAATGATAATGACAGTTAAGATTGCATGCTTTATGATGGAAAACATTTAAATGTTTAAATACTGGCGAAATTAAATCTCTTATCCTGAAGCTTTCCGTGGTAGTTTATGCACAAGGGCAGTTCCTTTGAATTTCTGTGGAATTATAGCTAAGGTGATGTTAGATGAAAATTCTAAAAGGATGGACAAATTCCTGTATTTTTATGTAAAATTCATTGCCCAGGGAAGACCGTGCTCTGCAAATTAATTGCATAATGAACAGAGCTATTCTCTGTAGAACCTAGGCTGTGTTTCTTTTAAAATATTAATGATATTTGGCAAGTAAGCCAGAGGATTGCAAGAAGGAAAGAGGAAGGTTCCTGGCTAAGGCAGACTTTTCCGTCGTTTCTGTGTAATGTTATTCAGGCTGCATAAACCAGACTTATCAAAATTGTTCAGTGATTGTTCTTTTCCTGGATGCTCACCTTGGTGTAATTGCAACATGATTTGTAAATGCTGTTGATACTCACAGTTGCAAACGAGATCAGTGGGAGTGTGTGAAGTATTTTAAAGTGTTTAAATACACTTGAAAAATCAGCCCTCAAATTTGGCACTTAAAATTAGCGGACACTTCAACTTTGCGCCATTTCCTAATAGAATTAGTAATTTTAGCTGCTCTCTGTGTTGAGAGGTCAAAGTAAAACTGAATAACAAATATTTTTTAAATTTTAAAGACCGTGGATTTGTGCCAGCAACAGAGAGTGAAAAATTTTTTCAGAAGAGACTTAAAGAAATCCTCAAGCAAAATGACTTCTCTGTGTAAGTGTGTAGCCATTTGCCATAAAGTATAGTATTCTATGCAAACCTTAAATATGCATTTAAAAATTGGTTTTCAATTAACTAGAACGTTGTCAGGATCAGTGGACTACAGTAATGGATCAGAGGAGTTCTCTGCTGAGCTAACACTACATTCTGAGGTACTTTCTCCTGAAGCCTTTCAGTGTACACCAGCTAATATGGTAGAAGTGCATAAAGATAAAAAGATGAACAAAGGTGAGTATTTTCAATAGCATAAATGTTTAGGCATAAATCTGTGTCATGCTTTGGCTGTTCATACTCTTAGCAGAAGTAAGCCAAGGAAGATCTGATTGTCAGTTACAAAAAAATGAGGAGTAGTTTTGCTTTTATTTTCATCATTGTTAGAGTAAGCCTTTTTAAAATTGCCATAGCAAATAATGGAAACGTACTTGAATAGTAAAATCCATTCTGAAGTGGCTTACTTTCATAATGTATTGAAGTCTGTGACTCTTTGAAGTTTTATCCTTTCGCTTTTTGTTTTTCTTTTAAAGAATCCGATAGGATGCATACTGGTAAAGAAGAGGAAGCACTTATTAACGAAGAAGCAATTTTAAACATTGTGGAGAATAGTCAGAGCTTTCAGCCTTTGTCTCAAAGGCTGAGTCAGACTACAGTTTTTAGTGAGTATGACGGGAATGTCTTTTCCAGGCTATTTTATTGTTCCACAGTCTTTGTTATGTTCACTTAAGTTACCAGTCATGAAAGAAAGTAAGTAGTTTGTCCAGCAGATTGAGACTTCACCCACACACACCTCCCACCCACCCCACCC